GGGCTGCCTTAGGATGTCTTCTAACGGTTGTATAGTTACTTATCTCCTTGGCTTGAGAGTCGTATAACTCCATACCCTCCAAAATTTCTCCAATGAAAATAGGGACGTCCTAATGGAAAACCGGACATTCCGGGATCAAATAAAAAAACAGAACAGCTTCTGTAAATCCGGGACTGTCCCTGGTAAAACAGGGACACTTGGAGGTCTGATGTTGCCTTTAAATCTATTTTCTTAGATCCTGTAATTAAATCTACTGAACACGGATGTGTTTGCACCGGTGTTTGTGAGACATAAAACAACTCATTTTTTAAAAAATAAATAAGAATTGGTACTTGGTCACAACCTGAAATCCTGTGTTCTCTGCAACATTCCGGATTCAAATGCGACTGTGTGGTATCTGAGTGTTGTGCTATCTGGATGTTATTTATAACTCTGCATTGCAGAGGAGTGTCAAGTGGCGTTCAACAGTGCCCTTGGCAAGGTGCCCAGCTTGTCACGGGCTGGTTATATCACTACATGAAGAAAGTTGTTTTTGAGACTGAGCATACAGTGTTGTTTTCAAAGAATTGCCATCGTCAGTCTGATTCCAAAGGCTGCGCGATTGCGTCACGTATTGTGACACGCTGCTCAGCTGCCAGACCCAAACAGACTCCTAGGCCCAGGAACATATGAATGGATGCGCACAGGCCCAGCATATTGATGGAAGAGCAATGTGGTTCACTTCCCCTTTCAACGCAAACCGACCTTATTCCCAGTTCCTGAAAAAGTACGCCAACTGGAATGGAGCTTACCTCTGAATATTCAGCAGTCATTTCCATGTATATTGCAAACTAATTCCCTCCCTCCCTGGAAGCAAATAACATGGAAATAAGCACTAAACTTGTGCTAGATCCCAGTATATTTCTAGGAGTCCATTTTATATTGTGTGAAAGTTCAAATATAATGAACCAAAATGAACAGTTATGGAAATGTTGAGGGGAAACGAACGAACTGCCATGAGAATACTGCTTTCCTGGTGTATATTTTGCTCTAGGGGACTTAGTGTGGTCAGAATCGAGTTTTCACCTCCAGAGTTAACACTAAATACATTACTTTTGGTAAATGAGCCACCATAGTCGCTAGAGGGCCGTGAAAAAAGTTTTTAGACTCGTTTACCATGTACTATCTGAAACCAAAGGGGCACATTGGTTGCCAGATGTGACTCCCCCCCCAACTCTCCTATCCCACTACCAGTGTTAAGAAAGTTATTCAGCAAGAAGACTGGATTAGGCCAATTGCCATCTTGTCAAACATCCTGTTCTCACAGTAGCCAACCAGAAGCCTGTGGGAAGCCCACAAGATAAAATTAGTGTATGTGCGAGAGACATTATAGAGGTTTTCTATAAATATTTTGAATAAAGCACAAATCACATGCAGAAATAAGTCCGTAGTGATTTCAGTGCTGGTGTGCATACAAATGCAACACGTTTACTCTTCTGCCTAGCCTGGTCAATCTCACATCATAGAATCGTACAGTTGGAAGGGACTCTGAGGGTCATCTAGTCCAAACCCCCTGCAATGCAGGAATACGCAGTTATCCCATACGGGGATCGAACCTGCGACCTTGGCATTATCATACTCTGACAACTTTACGTTTTACTTTTGTTTCAACTAAATAATGGGCATTAGGTAAAGGGTAAAGGGACCCCTGACCATTAGGTCCAGTCGTGGCCGACTCTGGGGTTGCGGCGCTCATCTTGCCTTATTGGCCGAGGAAGCTGGCGTACAGCTTCCGGGTCATGAGGCCAGCATGACTAAGCCGCTTCTGGCGAACCAGAGCAGTGCACGGAAATGCCATTCACCTTCCCGCTGAAGCGGTACCTGTTTATCTACTTGCACTTTGACGTGCTTTTGAACTGCTAGGTTGGCAGGAGCAGGGACCGAGCAACGGGAGCTCACCCCGTGGCGGGGATTCGAACTGCCAACCTTCTGATCAGCAAGTCCTAGGCTCTGTGTTTTAACCCACAGCGCCACCCATGTCCCTTTAACGGGCATTATCCCACCCCCGAATTAGGCACTTTTAAGCCCTGCTGAACTAATCAGGAGAGATTTATGCACAAGCATTTAACCTCTCCTCTTGAAATCAATGGGACTGGAAAGCTCTCAGTTTGCCTGGATTTTACTCAGACCATCTATTGACCCATTGGCATTTCAGCCTCCGCAAGTTGTTAGCAAAGCAACCTAATGATAACTTGAAATTATTTCATCAGAGTCTGTATTGGTACTTCCGCCCGGTGGTTCCACTGCTACCTCAAGGCAGTATGATGACTTTGTATAAACACATGATGAAAGCAGAGGGCTGTTAATTGGAAGGTGCTCGGGCCTAATTATTTTCTTTACAATATTGAGCAAGCTATTTAATATCATAGTTTCCTCAGTCTCCTTAGCTGCAATACAAGGTCAAGTGTTGTAAAGCTCATTACACTGATTTTTTTATTATTGAAAAAACAGCATCTGCAGTTGTACACAGGAAACCGCTGCAGAAATTTGTGTTGCGATTGGTTGATGGCAAATGACCCTTTACTAGACTTCAGTGGCCCATCGAAAGGTTGCTTGGCAGGTTGAGACACAACAGCAGAAAGAGGTAACCTAGGTATAACCCTCCAGGTGTCCCTATTTTCTGGGGACAGTCCCAGAATTAGAAAAAGCCATCCCAGCTTCTGATTTGATTCTGGAATGTCCCTATTTCCCCTGCCAGTGCTGCCACCATGAAGCTCAGGGTGGAAGATGAGCTGGCACTTTTCTCGAGCAGTGGTGGCAACGAGGGAGCCTCCTGTTGCCTGTCCATGGCCGACGGCCTCTTCCTCCCTTGGGCAGCTCTTTGTGGCTGCTGGAGAGGCTGCCGCCATCAAAGCTCAACCCTGTGTGATGTGTCAACTCTGAGGGGCAGGTGGAGGGCAGAGAAGAAAGTGGGAGCAGAGTGGATTGCAAGGAATCTTTTGGTGTTTTTTTTAATGCTTTGTGTGCCCACGTTTAATCTTGCCTCTTTCTAAAAAATTTTATTGGTATGTGTTTTCCTTTTTGTAGATCTACCAAAGAATCAAATCAAGTCAAACTGGGATTAAGGGGTTTCCTCAGGACGATGGAGGGCGTGTGTGCTCTGTCCCGTTGGTGGAGTAGTGGTAGCACTTGCCCATCTTCTGACAGAAATGCTTTGTTGGGAGGTGACCAGAAAATGGGGGGTTGAAGAGGGTCAGTCGAGGAGACTGAAAAAAATTCTCTACAGTATTTTCCTCCCAACTCCCATCAGCCCTAGCAAGCCAATGGCCAGGATGATGGGAGGTGGTGTCCCCAACATCTGTAAGGCTGCAGGTTCTCCATCCTTGCCCGGAACACCTAATAGGTTGGTTCTAGATTAAATCAATGTACAGTCATACCTTGGGTTAAATTTGCTTCAAGTTGAGCGCGTTCGAGTTGCGCTCCGCGGCAACCCGGAAGTAACGGAGCACGTTACTTCCGGGTTTCGCCGCTTGCACATGTGCAGACGCTCAAAATGACATCATGCGCATGTGCAGAAGCGGCGAAAAGTGACGCGCGCATGCACAGGCGTGCCATCGCTAGATACGTTTACCTCTAGATGCGAATGGGGCTCCGGAACGAATCCCATTCGTATCTAGAGGTACCACTGTATTTGCTCCAATTATGGCTGCATCTGGATGCAGCAACCCACGTTCTCTGCAGTTAATGTCAGAACCTGTCTAATTACCCTACTTATCTCCCTTAGCTATGTGGCCTCCACAAAGCCCTGCTTTTTGTTACCCACAATCTAATTTCAGTGTGATTGTTCCAGTATTTGTTTGCTGATGCACTCTGAAATTAGATTGCAATCGAAGGCTGTGCCTGAAAAGTATTTAGCACATTGCCGAGTGCTCTTGAAAGAAACAAAACAGGATTAGACATCTTTGTTCATTAGCTGAGAACCAGATGTGAGACAGACAAGCCCTGCTTGTAAACTTCTGAGAGGCAATCAGCTGCCGCTGTTTGAAACAGACAGACCTTTACAGTCCAATTCACCTGGGAAGTTACAGTGGTACCTCTGGTTAAGAACTTAATTCATTCCGGAGGTCCGTTCTTAACCTGAAACTGTTCTTAACCTGGGGTACCACTTTAGCTAATGGGGCCTCCTGCTGCCGCCGCGTGATTTCTGTTCTCATCATGAGGTAAAGTTCTTAACCTGAGGTACTACTTCCGGGTTAGAGGAGTCTGTAACCTGAAGCGTTTGTAACCCAAAGCGTTTGTAACTCGAGGTACCGCTGTATTATGTTCTCAACAGTCATATATAGAGAATGGAGAGGCCCTTTGCAGACACTGACTTGGATCCTAAGTGGACTTAACATTTATGCAAGGAAAGTTCCCTTGTCTCCAACTCCCCTGAAGCAACTTCAATAAAGCCTATATTGAGGTCAAAGGACCTGCCTGAACAATATGGTATAGGGTGTGAGGTAAAGGAGGAGATGCCCCTGTGATGTGTGTGAGTGACATCTGCACCCCACAGGGCGTGCCAATGTGATGCGCATGCGCACTTGCGACGTGACACGTGCATGCCCTGGACACCCACTGTCATGGGGCAAGGTGGCGTGCCTATTTCTGCCCATTCCCTGCAACAACTGCCACTTTTTGTGCCATATTCTATACTGTTCTGGAGGGCTCCTCAATCTTCAGGTGCAGCTGGGATGGGGGCAGCTTGGGGGAGGGGTCCACAGTGCAGAACTACCTTCTGCTAACCCAAGACCACCCCTGCACACAATGAACCCAGTGTTTTCAAACATATGTGGCTAACAGGGCTTTTACAGCTGCAGTGAACACCTGAGCAACCACTTTGCAGCAAAGATTTACAACAAATGTCGTAGAAAAAGTACTTCTGAGTAAGAAGAGCCAGAAATCACTACAAGGAGTTTGCAGATGGGTGTACTAACAATGGATTACACTTAGCTGAATGACTTTTTCTTTTTTGGTTTCAGATTCCTCTGATGAAAGATCCTGGCTGGATCCGAAATGTCTGGACTTGCAACCTGAATGTGAGTTATTTTTATTCTATTTGCATTGATTTCATTGGCTGATCTAAGATTTGTAAGCGTTGGGTTCTGTGGTTAAGCAGGTGAGTTGTACCATGCTCAGCAGATCAAGAATTATTAGATTCCACATAAAACATTATGGGGTTTTCCCCTCAGTGGCAATAAACTCACATTCACAAACAACAGAGATTAGAATCTGCAAAACAGGCATGAGAAAGCCGCAAGCTAAACTTATTGCAACCCTCCATACTTAAGTTGTTTTCAAAATGAGTCATCTATGCCACCTCATATGGTTCTTTGTATGGGCTGATTAACTTATAGCCAACCACAGCCACTGTGTCACATGCCAGGAGGGAAGCCTATCAGAGGAGAAACAGTAGAAACAGATGTTCTCAGGTTATAAAGCACAGCTGGAAAAAAGCCACATACACTGGGAGGGGAAAAGCTGCTACTACATATCAGCAAATATGGACCTGCTTCGAAGGTTGATTATAAGTCAGTTTCAGTATATTTCAGTTTCCTGTTTCTCTTTTTCTTTTAAATAAGTTTTATTAGGGTTTATAGAGAAAAATAGGAAGCTTAATATAAAATATCTTTTCCCCTTTTTATTTGAACCAAGTCCTTGATCTAACCACAGTGGACCCTCTAGTTAAATACTGCTCTGGATACGTAACTTTCGGGTTGTGAACGTGGCAAACCTGGAAGTGTATACTTCTGGGTTTCGCCCTGCGCGCATGTGCAGAAGCGCTCTGCGCGTGTGCACAGAAGCAGCGCCTCTGCCTACGGACTTTTTGGGTTGCGGACGGACCCCCGGAATGAATTTAATTCGTATCCGGAGGGTCCACTGTACAGTATAATAAAAACATAAAGAAATAAAGATGGGAGAAAGGAGTAGAAAAAGAGAGAAATAAAGAACCACCCTTTTGCCCCCCCCCCACTACTCCACTGTTTTTGTCCCTCTACTTTCCCCAGGAAAACTTGCTCTTTAACACTGGCTCAGAACAAATGGCAATTTGGGTTTTCTGTGGATAACCATTGGCTCTGATTCAGCAGTAAAGAACAGGTTTTCGGAGGTAAATCACCGGAGCAAAAAGAAAGTGATTGGACACAGCATTTTAAAGCACAGACCTGGGCCTGGAAATGTGGCACAAAAGGAAGCCTGGGTGAGACCTGTGTTAGGTCCACAATTACCTTTCCTGCACTCTTTCTGAGCACAGTCCACAATTTAAAGCTCTGTCCGATCCCCCTTGTGTGTTTTGTTCCAGAGCTCTCCCCATGAAAACCTGCTCTTCAAAGCTCAATCAGAGCAAATGTCAATCTGCGGGGGGAAACCCAAATTGACGTTGGCTCCGATTCAGCTTTAAAGAGCGGATTTTCACAAGAAAAGCTTGGGGCGAAAAAACAACACTCTGACACGGAGTGTTAAAGCATGGATCTCTGCCTGGACAGAACAGAGCAAAATGTAAGTGTGGATAAGCCCTTAGTCTGTTGCAACAAAGGGTTCTGTGGGACTTTCAAAACATACACATTTATTACGGTGTAAGCTTTTGTGGACTGCAGTCTACTTCATCAGATGCAGGAAAATATTATATTTGGCACACTCAGCCATTCTCTGTCCAAGTCCATGATGAAAAGGGTGGTATTCTTAGCTTGTGGGATAGCACAAGTTTTGGCTTGGAATCCTAGGCACCCTTTATTTGGGAGTCAGCCATGCTAGAGACCGTGGAAAACCTCTGAGTAAACAGGCACTGTATATTTCTTTTGTGGTTGTTCTATAGTACTTTGATATCCAAGTAATAGCTTTGGTCTCTTAAACAGGATTAGCAGCATCAGGAAATATTTTCTTATCCTTGCCATGGGAAAATATTCCCTGGGAAAACAAAGGCTTTGCTTTAAAATGCACGAAGAAGTCTTTGCCTGGCATATACTCAAGGTCTCCTAGTTTCTTCACCCCCTCTTTGATGTTGTCAGAAAGTATTTTATTTAAAACAAAAAGTGCAGGCTTGGGAGTGCAGTGCAAATAATAGACTGATGGCACTTGTCTGAAGTGGAAGGAAGCCACCCTAACCCCTCAATCCCTCAGTGTTAGAGCTTTCAACAGTGCTTCTGTTTTATGCACGGTTCTGAAACACGGGTTAGCATTTCAGCTCCCACATACATGTTGAGTATTGTTACTTTCCCCACTTTTGGGTGGGTGTAACTAGGGTCAGGTCACTGGAAGTGGGATATCTAATCAACAGAGGCACCAGCTTCTCCAGAGGATCAGGGATTTTTAAAACCATCATCACCACTTAAATAGAGACAGCGCCTGCCTGATATGTAATGAGACAGAGCTCCAAAGTGTAGCTACTGCCACACTAAAAATCCCAATTTGCGCTCTGTGCAGAACAGACCTGCTGATGAGTATTTTAATATATTTTTTTGAAGCCACCCAGAGTGGCTGGGGAAGCCCAGCCAGAATGGGCGGGGTACAAATATATTATTATTATTATTATTATTATTATTATTATTATTATTATTATGAGATGGTATCTGCAGGAGTATCTCTCTTGCAGAACCCAGTAAGCAGTTGGTGAGGCAATCTTTTTGGTATCCTGGTCCCATTTTGTTTTAGATATCCTGGTCCCCTTAGCCAACCATCCTAGGTTTTTTTTGTTTTTTTGTTTTGTTTTTTTAACGGGAGACCTGGAACATGAAGTTCCAATGGCTCCTCACTTTGGTCATGGCATGTGTCATAAGCACACAGATATCCCTTAGTCTTATTCCAGCAAACATTACTTATTCTCCCATCTCCACTGCATGCAGGTGGGATTTCTTGGAATCCTCATTATCGCAGCTGCCAAAGATGGCGGCCAATCAGGGCAGAGTTCCAACAGGAAAAGGAAGTGCTGAGCTGTTGCATAGCAACGCTGGTGCTAGTGTTGATGTGTTTTCTTACTGCTGGATGTCAGTGGTTCTTTTTTTCAGTTTTCTAGACTGGGCTACAGAAAGGCGCATGCGTTCTCAACCTTAAGAAGTTGTGGTGGCAAGCTGTAGTGGAGTCGCAAGTCAGGGAATGATCTTCTTGGTGTATACGTTTCGAGGTATCTGAAGGGTGTCAACTGCAACTACTGCCTGTACCAGAGATGTGGGGCCTATGGTACCCCAGATATGGTTTGACTACTACTCGCATCATACCGAATCACTGTCTATGCTGGCTGAAGCTGATGGGAGTTCAGCATCTTCTGGAGTGCCACAGGTCCTCCATTTCTGGCTCACTACCCTCTTTTATCAGACAAGGGCTGCAAACCTATATACACTTAGCTGGGAGTGAGCCCCACTTACTTTTGAGAGGACATGCTGCAGTATAAATTACCGTATTCCAACAGGTCTAAGGAGTGTGCCAATGCAAGAGTGTTGCTTGACGGTTTGGAATCTTACCCCTGCCTTTGGGCTAAAGGGAAAGGCAGAGAAGCACTGTGGGCTGGAACCAGTTTTGCAGTTTGAATTGGGAGAGGTGGAGAGACTGAAGAGTTTTAGGTGGAGCCAGCTAAAACCGGGATGCAGCAGCAGCCTGAGGTGTGCTGCGCTGTGACAGACAGGTTTTCTGTCTCCAGCTTCTATATTTGTTGATAAAGCGAATGCTAAATGTCACTATTAAGTCTTCAGTGAGGTCTTGTTCAAAAGAAAACTAACATAATACACCGAAGTTGGTATAGAAATAATGTATATAAATGTCTGTTAGGAAAAATAAACTGGCAGTGTGTTGTATAAAAGGAAAGTAACATAATACAAAAGAGAACATAATTCAGAATCTTACTCTGCTCCCACAGCTAATGCTAATTTAGAAGGAAGTACTTGTAATCCGCGGGTGGCGCTGTGAGTTAAACCACAGAGCCTAGGGCCTGCTGATCAGAAGGTCGGTGGTTCGAATCCCAGCGACGGAGTGAGCTCCCGTTGCTCGGTCCCCGCTCCTGCCAACCTAGCAGTTCGAAAGCACGTCAAAGTGCAAGTAAACGCGCGTTTCCGTGCACTGCTCTGGTTTGCCAGAAGTGGCTTAGTCATGCTGGCCACATGACCCGAAGCTGTACGCTGGCTCCCTTGGCCAATAAAGCGAGATGAGCGCCGCAACCCCAGAGTCGGCCATGACTGGACCTAATAGTCAGGGGTCCCTTTACCTTTACTTGTAATCTCTAACTGGACCAGGAGTTAAAATCCCATTGATTCTCTCATTTTCCTTCCATATCTTCCCTTCCTCTCCTCACTCTCATTGAAAGTACTTCTGAAAACATCATTGTCTTCCTGTGGATGATGCCACAATGAAAGCTTTTAACAATAGGGGTTTTCCTAAGACAGGGGCAGCTGGGAAGGGTGGAGGCCAGGCTTGAAGGATTTAAGGGGAAAGGGGGCGTGGTGGAAGGATGGAGAAAGAATAAGAGCCTGGAAAAGAAAAGATGGCCACCACACAAATTGGGAAGCCTACACTAGGCTAATTCAAATGGAGAGCCCCAAAGAACTTAAGACACCCCCAGTTCTCCACCCTCAAGAATCCAGGTACAGACAAGTCCATCCAGCATGTCAAGTCTCCCAGTCATTATCAATTACAGGCAGATCTGATGAACTAGACCAAGGTGAGAATGCTGTTTGAATATTATAAAATGAGATATCTATATGTCCATTGTTCCTTTAAAGATAATCAGGTTTGCCAGTTTCTTTTGGGGTGATGGGGCACCCAACCCTCGTTCTTGGTAATGTGAAACAAAAGTGACGTGCAAAACTTGGACGATAGACACATTCTGAAAGGGCACAGAAACGTAAATATAGCATCTGCTCTGGTGTTGCTTGCATTTGAGAATTTCTGCTAAAATAATGCCCCTCGTTCCAATGAAGGATTTCCCCCTGAAAATGTATCAGGTGTGGAATAAAGCCCATTTCTAGTACCTGGAGTTCTTCCCCTCTTTTTCTGCATGTATTTAGGTATGTCCAGAGCAGAACAACCTTTGTTAGATATGTGTTATACATGT